CATACAATTATAGTTGTATCTAAATTTGCACAAATAGTACAAATAACCTTTACAATATATCATTAGGTATTATTCAAATTCTTGAGAATTAATATTGAAATTTTATATCGTAATTCTAAATTAAGAAACAATTGAGAAGAAATTTAGATTAAATTATTTTAAGAAACCTCTTTGATATAAAATTTAATATATCAATAAATAATCTTTTTCTATTTTTCTGGATTTAAAAAAGTACTCATCGAATTTCAATCAACAAGGAAGAACTAAACTCAATAACCAATTGTTTAGCTTTAGAAAGTCTAGATATGATAGGTATATGGAAAAGCCTAAAGGGTATTGAGACTTATGGCCTATCCTATCTTGAATAATTGAGAATGTGGATTCAAGAGACAATGCAAGATTACAGATTAAAAAAATGGTATGGGATATAAATTGTCTACAAATTTCTATTCCAATACAGAGATTTGGATCCCAGACTTGCCAATAGACTTTTTTCAATAATAGTTTTGTTGCTACTTTAGGTTGATATTTCAGGTATCAGACTTTAACAATTAATAGGTGAACCTATATATCATTAATAGATGATACCTGAGTCTTAAGAAATCTTCTCTGATATCTCAAATAGATTGATAGGGTTCTTCAACAGTCAAGGAAGAATATAGAAATATGTTATTTCCTAGCCTTGCTTCCTCTATATCCTAACCTTTTTATACTGATAATAAACTTGAGCTATTCATTTTAAGGAAAGGGTGGACAAATTATTAATTGTATTTCTAATAAAAGTATAATTATGACAGCTTGTATTAATCTACCGCCCTGATATTGATAGCTTCTTGGTAAGTCAAGTAATTTAGAGCCTCAAAAGATAAGGATGTTTTGGATGATCTCTTTTATATCTTTTGAATTCATAATCGATCCAAATATTAATTTTAAGTGTCTCTTTTTAAGGAAAAGAATTTATTTATGAGAAATTCTAGTAATTTATTAGTTATATAATTAATGATGATAACTAATGATTGATAGTGCATCAGAGGTCTCAATGGTAAGGAGAATGTTGCAGATATTTAATAAGATATAAGTGTGTAAATTAAGTAAATTGTTAATTATAACATCACAACTATAATCATAACTTCAGAGATATTGATTTAATTCCTAAAATAGGTAATTTTTATTTTTATTGTTTTAAAATAATTTATTCTACTTTGAAATCAGTTTTTATTGTTCTCGAAATCCTATCAAGGATTCTAAAATTTATAAGTCATTTTCTAAGTAGTTATTTGAATTGTAGAAACATTGACCTTTTTTCAACTATTTTGTATTCTTAATATTTTTTCGTGCTTAAATACAATGAACTAATAATTTCACTTTATCAAGCTTCTGAACAAAATCTTCAGTAATAATAATTTAACTCAAAACTAAAAATAAGTTATTTGACTTATTTACAAAGTTTTGTTTAATATATATGTCAGATTATTACAATTCTTTCGAGAAAATAAATAATATTTATTGGAAATCCAAAAAAAGAGATATATCATTTTTTGTCATCATAAGGATAGTTACTTACTCTATAGAAGAAACATACAAAGATCATATAGCTTAATCATTTCTAAAATTTCATCATTATCTACAGGAACTTAGTTAATTATACATCACGAATTCATTTCAAGACTCTTTTCATTCCAAAAACTTAGATTTATTCAAATTTAGTTTCCTTGACTTCATGTCTTCTTAAATCTTCTTGTTAATTATATTCTATTTCTAAAGGCATATGATTATTCGATAAGAATTTTTGATAAAATACTATATATGTTCTATATCCTTTAAAATTAGAACTTAATTATAATTAACTTTATAATAGTTAGATCTAAATTCAATATTCTTAACAAACTTAGTTATGTATAATTTCTATTACTCCAAATTTTCATTGAAATCCTTATTTAAAATATCATTTGATGAATATAGCTTATCTGATTTAATACCTAGCTTAAACAATTTATTGGATTAATTACTTTGTTTTTTGTTGATTTAATATGAGAAAAATTTTTACTAGTTACTAAAAAATTACTTCATATACCAACCATAAATCATTCTATTAATTAAATTCTTTAAGCTTAATTAATTAAATTGTTATAAATTATTAATCGACCACAGATGCAAAAGCGTTCAACCTAATATATCAATTTAATCAGGTAAAAGGAGGGATAATTTATACTAGAGAATAATCAAGGATCTTTTTTAGTAATACTTTTTCATATATTGATGCATTTATGAGAGATAAAAGAGATTATATCAAACATTGGTTAATGAATTTGGAGAGAATTCTTTATGGTAATTAATATGAAATTCAAATAAATCCTTTAATTGCATACTTTCTGAATTGTAGTATTAAAAACATTATAGTGGTTGATTTTAGATATATTCTTTTTGACTAGGGATGTTCTTAATAGTAAATTTCTAAAACTTTGATCTTATTATGAATGTCTATGGCATTTTTTATAAAGACTTAACGTTGTTCTTACTTACTCATGAAATATCATAGTGGCCCTTGATGTTAAAAATTAAGAGTAGAGCCAATAAATGTTTAGTTTGTATCTGATAGTAAATCAATAATTTTTACAGTCATTAATATTTAGTTAATTGTGGATTTCATAAATAATATCCTTGATAAGAGATAAAATATAACTTTAAAGGCAAGTTTTACGTGTGTGGTAATTTTTACATAGTTTGAAGGATTTAATTTGTTTATAGATAGGGATTCTTAAGTAATGAACCTGAAGTTCAACTAAATGATGACATTACCCATCTAATTCAAAATTGC